AAGCGATAATGTAAAGAATTTACCCCAATATAAGCATTATTATAATAAGCAAACAGTACGTACCGTATGAACAAAAAAAGTCTTTTTAGTCTTCAACTCGACTACCATCCTGGAACTCCAATATATTTCACCCTTCTGTTCCATTTTTTCTTGATCAACGTAGATTAATCTAGGAAAATCCGTTAAAATTAGTAAACGTTTTTTAGAGAAAAGGCCTTTGCGTTTGCTAATAGGTCCTGCGCGGATTATAAGCTCAGATTTGAGCAAGAATGGAATCCTAAAATTTATTAATGTATGTATGTATATATGTATGTCACAAGTAACTTTATTATTTTAATATGCACTAATATACATACCATTGTGCAGAAGATCGTTTTTGTTCTTCAAGTTTCTTTGCTTTTTCAGGATCTACCTTAACCGATCCATCATCACCGCCTGCCCAACTTTCTAACCTAAAAGGATCATTTTGTTTAAGGCCTGTAGCAACTGGGCTACTATTGTTATCTCCACTATGATCGGAAAGCTTTCGTAAATATGTTTTGCTAGATGTACGAAGTTCTTCCTTATTGTGTTGAGGATTTGGGGGGAGGTACGGAAGTAGACGTGGTGCGGGTGTGTTCCATATATTGTCCCAATCCACGCCCTCGAAAAACGGATGCCTTTTCAATTTTTCAACACCTGCTTTACCCCCAGAACCCAGACGCTCAGATGGGTTTAATACCTAATTATTTAGAACATACGAATTATAAAAAAACTCTTTCTAAATAAAATATTATAAGACATCATTCATACCAATAATTTTTGAACCAAATCTTTTGCTACCGGAGGGAATCCTTCAGGAAATGTATATTCAAGCTTGACAATTCTCTGAAAAGTCAGATATTCATTGTTTCCTTTAAACGGTGGACGTCCAGCGATTAATTGATATATAATACAACCTAACGCCCAAAAATCTGAGCTATAATTTTGATGCTTACATTAGTTTTTTAACGAATAAAAATCGTCGTTAATTATTATTTACAAACCTTTTACAGGCAGACTTCTCTTTCAATAATTCAGGACTGACGTACTCTGCAGTACCGACAAAGGAATTTGCACGTTCGTCTAAGGTTATGAATCACAAGGGTAAATAAAAAGACAATATATGTATATACAAATATATATAAAGTAATATATAATTCAAACCTTCACCATCTTCGTTAGACTCTAATATTTTTGCCGTACCAAAGTCGGTAACCTTAACGTGCATTTTTTCGTCTAATAATATGCTAAATGAGATAAATAATCACCAGTTAAAGATTATTAACCCTGTGCACTAGTTATTTTGCCAAGTTGAAATGCGGTGCTTACTTTTCTGGTTTTAAATCTCTGTATAATCAATTTAAAGGAAAGAAATTTGAGAAAAATTTCTTTGAAAATATACACAGAGATATTTTAATAATCATCACCTGTGGATCACACCCTGAGAATGCATATATTCGATGGCTGATACTATTTGCGCAGCATAAAATCTCGTGCAATTCAGATCAAAAGAGCCAAGCTATAAATTCAGAATAATAATAAATGCATGAATCAGATAAATAAATCATGATCGGAGTGACAAGAAAAGAAATTGCACACCTTCTTTATGAATGCGAGTAATTCACCATTTTTAGCATGATCTAAAACGAAATCTGATTTAGTAAAAATTTAGGTTAAAGATTTAATATTATTAATATTATTAAAAAATTCAATTGATCACATTTTCAAGATAAATCTAGAAAAGTTAAATTAGTGAATTAAAGAAAAAGGATACATAAACTATTTTGATCTTGAAAGGTATAATAAAGACGAACAATTCCTGGATGATTCATTTTATTAAGGGTATTTTTCTCAATGTTAACATATTTAACTTTTTTCTCTCTTATAATATGCCTTTTTTCAAGAATTTTTATGGCATATTCACGCCTTGAAGAGCGGTCTATCGCGAACATAACCTGTAAATAGGAAACAAAGAATATATTTGCATGCTTCAACAGAACAAAAAAGTAAAAATAGGAAGTGATGCCATGTTTACAGTAGAGTAAGAGCCTTCGCCAAGAGTTTTACCGAATTCAAAGTCATTAACACCTTTTTTTCGAACTGAAGGTGAATGAGACATTTGAGGAATTTTTGGAGTTTGGTTGCCGCCTTGCGAGTTTGATGTTTGTGAAGATGGTTGTAAAGAGCGCTGTACACTCGAAGTGTGACTATTCTCTTTGTGAACACCGTTGATAAGTGGATAAGGATTAATAGTGTTGCCTGAAGCCATCAGAACTCAAAACTAACTTATAGAAACGGCAGGAAGAAAGCTGAAAATAAAATAAAGGACGGCCGAATATTATCGTCATATAATATAATACAACTTCCCCCCTGGAATTCAAATTTGCGCAGCAAATTGATAGTAAATTTTTGATTTACGGGGGGTAATACTATACATAGGTATTTTTGATAATAGGAGTTAACCTGAAATTAGTTTGTGAAGTTTCCATAAATACCACAAGACGGAGATAAGCATGTGATGACGATTTTCGAGGTAGGAACGTTCCAAATAAGGAAATAATGATCCCGATCATGCATAATAGTTTAGCCAATTAAAATCACAAATTTTTATCATGTGAAATATATCACATGTTGAT